GTAGCATCCTGAGAAACAAACCCCTTCCCCTTTGCTATATTAAGAGCTGCATTCAGAATCCCCCTTGCCATTAAAAGAATACTCTTTTTGTCTGTGAATTCATCCCATTGCTGGAGAGAGTAAACTCCTACTTTTTCAAGATTGTATGCAACCTCCCGCAGAAGCTCCATATTTTCCTTTATTCTATTGTAGGCGGGCAGTGCAGTAATTAACCTTATCAGTTCTTCATCTTGAATAAACATATCTGGTTTTATGACAAATGCCTCCATGGTAACATTCTCNCACATAGTGCCATGTCGCAGTATACACAGATTCATATGCACCTTCCATTACCACAGATGTAGCTAACTGAGAAACAAACCCCTTTTCCTTTGCTATATTAAGAGCTGCATCCAGCTTTCCCCTTGCCATTAAAAGAATCCTCTCCTTGTCTGTGAATTCATCCCATTGCTGGAGAGAGTAAACCCCTGCTTCTTCAAGATTGTTTGCAACCTCGTTCAGAGTATTATTTAACTTCATATCTTCCTTTATTCTCTCGTAGGCGGGCAGTGCAGTAATAAGTCTTATCAGTTCTTTATCCTGAATATACATATCTGGTTTTATGACAAACACTTCCATGGTAACATTCTCATTGGAATCAACAACACCCCTGCCACCCACATTATTGCGGAGGAAATCATTGAGTTTAGGTGTCTCCAGGAGATTCAATCCATCTAGAAGTATTTCCCTGACTGTGCTGTTCAATGTCCACTTGGGTTGAGGTACAGTTTCCACTCTTGCACGTACCGCTGGAGGTTGATTGAATAAGCTGATTTTGCTATTGTGGAACGATCGAATGGGGAAGTGATGCCGAAGAAAGAAGGAAGAAATGATGCTGTTCGTCGAATAGAGATTCATTTTTTTTATCAATCTTCCTCCTTGAATTGCTAACATTTTCATTTTTTTACTACTCACTCACTTCTTCAATACTAACAAAAAAAGAAAAAAGAAAAGAGAGAAAATGGATGAAATG